AAGAGGGAATCTACATCAAAACAGGAAGCAGTCCTAAGTTTCCTAGAGCAAGAAGATCTCTACACCTACTGCCATTTCCTACGAGCAGCCTAGCAGGTGTGGGGGTATTTGTGGAGCCAAAAATAATCAAGAGGCGACACGTGGATTTTTGGGAAAAAAGGACAAAGACCCCTGAGACATACTGGGTTTCCTACATGCAAGCAGTGGAGAATCAACCAAAAAATAGGTAACAAGTTCAAATTTATCTCATCCATCTTTACTCTATATCCTCTACAAAGAAATTATTCCATAACCTCCCATATAAATTAATTAGGCAAATTAATGGATTAATTCTCAATTAATCCATTAAATCACCAAATTAAATCACCCTTTTTTCACACAAAAAAGCTCAAGGGCCGGCCACCTCCTTGTGCTATATATATGTCCCTATTCTCCCAAGTTTATACTCTTGCAAAACTCCCAAAAATTCTCTAAACACTTTTTCTCTCTAATTTCTAACTTTGGCATCGGAGGTTCTTCGGCCAAAGCCCCCCCCTTGATCGTGGGCGCGTGAGGCTCTTGGCCTTAACCAAAGGTGTTAATTGTTTTGTAGGTGCAATTTTGTCAAAGAAGGAGAAGGAGAAAATTTGCATCCACACATGTGTATATTACCTGCACATAATTATTGTGAACGCTTAAAGTGCAAAGGTGAACGCAGGACACCCAGGTAAGTTTAGGTAAGTTTATGGTATTAGTTGAAAGGATGGAGTTATGGCATGACTACATGCATTTAATTAAACTAGTGTTTAGTTGGATTTATCCCCGATAATTATTTCCGAAAATAAATAATTCGGGAGTAGGGCGTTATAGATTGTGCATTTTAGCCACGTTATATATATATATATATATATATATATATATATATATATATATATATATATATATATATATGTATTTATTGGAAAAATACTATGATATGGTTGAGTTTTAGATTTGCATTATGGCATATCCATGTGTATATTACCTGCACATAATTATTGTGAACGCTTGAAGTGCAAAGGTGAACGCAGGACACCCAGGTAAGTTCATGTAAGTTTATGGTATTAGTTGAAAGGATGGAGTAATGGCATGACTACATGCATGTTTTAAGCAACTCCGACACTGTCGTACGGGTTGTCCATGAGTCGTACATGTTATGTTGAGATACATTGAGAGCTCATAAACCTGCACCCCGGTGTTAGTGCTCCCGCTCATGGCCAAGGCACAGTTCTTCACGTGATGTTCACCTCCCGCACCTTACACTCACCTTGGATCCAAGGTAGGTGCACAGTCATGTCGTACAGACCACTATAGGTGGTTCCGACTCGTGTGAGCGTATTTATTTACACCCAGTCATGTCGTACCGACCACTTTAGGTGGTTCCAACTCGTGTGCAGGTATACTTATTGAGCTATGGATAAGTCGTACAGGTCACCATAGGTGACTCCGACTTATGAGCTAGCATATGTGATAAGATATGTGATGAGCTAGCATATGTGATGAAATATGGGTAAGTCGTATAGGTCACTATAGGTGACACCGACTTATGAGTTAACATCGATTGATGAGATATGGTTACAGCCGTACAGGTCACCATAGGTGACTCCGACTTGCGTGCTAGTAGGGGTTATTAACCACATGATTATTGATATTGCTAATGATAGCGATGTGGTGGTATATTTATGTATTTTCTGGAGACTATACAGGTGTTGTAGCGAGGGGTCATAATGTTTTATATGGTTTCTATTAAAATTTTATCTCCAGGGCCACTCACTCTTGTTTTGTTTTCACCTTCCAGGTTTTATTAGCTAAGCTTTCTTATCATCAAAGATTCATGGCGATTCTTAGAATTGGAGATTCTTTCAAGGGTACGATTCTTAATCCACTCTACTGTACTTACTTATGCTCTAACGTCACGTGTGAAGTGGGTTCCTTCCCGCTCACCAATGCACTCTGGTATTTAGGCACTCTTAGGTTTAAATTTATTCACATTTTTCCACATCATCACACTTTATGGCTTCATCACCTTCCAGGTGTCGGCCAGCACAACTCAATTCAGAGTCCTAGTGGACATTCAGGGTCAGGGTGTGTCAAGCAACCACTTATAACTCAAAAGGCTTAAATATAGAAGGTTCACAAGGATCAATAAGTACAAACCATACAGTATTTGACAACTCTGCCAACATTTTGTACAACATTCTGAAAGTTCAGGCCACTATTTTCCAGTCTAGCCCGTTGGCATCACATGTGGGAGACAAACAATTCTAATCTATATGCCTATGTCAATGTTTCCTGATTACTTTATCCCAAGCAATGAACAAAATATATTACGACTAAGTTAAAAGAACAGACATCGAACATAAGTTCTAATCCATAAGTTCCTGATTACTTCATTTGAGAAATTTACCTATTGGTAAATAAAACTCCAGCACAAAAGTTGCAGAAGCAAAGCAAAAGAGCCCAGTTCCTTTGGACCTTCACCAATCTGCAAAAACCCAAGAACCATTAGATCAATTAAATAGAATCTGTGAAACCAAACAAACCCTAATCTAGAATTCGAAAATTAAATTTCAAAAGCCCTAAAATTACAAACCCTAATCTAGAATTCGTAAATTAAATTTCACAAACCCTAAATTAATTCCCATATTTATTTACATGTGTTTGAATCTACGAGATATAATCGCGTGAGAGAGTCAAAGACTTCTGAGAGAGAGAATCGCGAGAGAGAGTCACGATAAAGAGAATCGCGAGAGAAAGACTGGTGGTGGCTGTGGCTCTGTGTCGTGAAGGAAGGGTCCACCGTCGGAGAGACAGCAGTGGATGATCTGTGTGGTGGTGGGCTGGTGACTGGCTGGCCGGAATTGGATTTGAGACAGAGAGGAGGAGGAAAGGGCTCTCTCGGTGGTTGAAGCGCTGAGCTGAGAGACTGAGTGAGTGAGAAATGAAATCGAAAGTTCAAAACGACACTCGAGTCCTCGACGGGGAGAAAGCCTATCAAGGAATGGACGGTATAGATTAATTTGAAACAATCCAACGATTCAAATTAACTCTAACTATAATTTAAAAAATAATATATATTATTATCTGTGTAAATAGATATATATATATATATATAATAATTAAAAATATATTTTTTTGGTTCGGAATGGGAATACCGAAATATTGGGAAGACAATCCCAATTCCCATATCAAAATTTTGGTGTTTTTTCGGGGTAGCATACCGAAAATTTTGGGAAAATCGGTTTGGGACATTTTTGGTTTGGGATCGGTATTTTTGGGATTTTTTTCCACCCCTAAAAACCATGAATAAAATGTGGGGTAAAACCGGATGGGCACTGTTAATGAACAGTACCCATCCGCTGAGCTTTAGTATATATAGAATTTCTAATTAAGGTATTTATGGAAAAAAAATGTGCGTACCTTGATAATTCACGGTTTGATGTACAGGTGAAGTACATGTGTCAAAAAATAGTAAAGAAGATAAGTATAGAAAGGCTTCTTGCATAAAGAAACCTAGCAAAGGTTGGGCAGCCAAATTCTTTTAGGCGAATTACAAATTGAAATATCTTATCCAATTGTGTTGGTGGTCAACACAAAGGCCACAGATTTACCAACAAAAAAAAAGAAAAAAGAAAAGAAAAGGCCACAAAGAGGTCTAAGGATCCTTGGGTAAGTTATATTTGTAATAGGCGTAATACGGTTGGAATTACTTTTTAAATATGGTACATCTTAAATATGGGATTCAATTGTTCATTATTCTTTTACGTGTCTAAATATAGTTAGTGAGTATCACCACTAAGCATTGCCACACGGTACTAGTGGACTCAAAGCTTGCTAATGGATTCTAACATTTGAATTTAATTAGTTCGATTTCCCTCGATGTATATCCTTCTTTGTCATATTTATAATACAACAAGATACAAGACTAATTAACTTGAAACAGAAAATAATGATATCCTAATTGAACAAATAATTCTAAATCTACAAAAACTTTGAAACCTAATTATCGTTTTTCCTTCTAAAGACTACCTAATTAGGACTTAGGAGATCCAATGTAATTCATAATTTACTTAATTTCATAACAATTCCCTTCTTCAACTCCTACTCCAACACTTTGGGAATTACACTACAGCGTTCTACAAAATTCAATGACAAGAGTATATATATTATCACAGAATTTATTTCATTTGTAGTATCAAAGAGAAAACAAACAATTCAAACAAATATATTAAAACTTGGTTTCAACGAAAGACCAGTACAAAGACTGGCTCATTCGTATTTTGTTGGCCACTGGTGATGCCTTATTTTTGAATTTAGGAAAGAGAACAACTAGTCCAAACTGAAGGCCTAAAGAGGCACGGATTCGACAAGGAGTGAAACCACAACATCCTTGAGAAAGATTCCAGCATGAGTAAAGCCATCGTCATGCTTGTATAAAACTTCAATCATTCGTGCAAGATTGACAATTCGTAGTATTATCTGCATGGGGAAAATGGTAGGGCGGTGGCACGTTTCGTTTACGTCCTTCCATGCATTATTCACTTGCTTGCTTAGTTCGATTATTGCTTGTTCCTCCGTGGCTTCATGTTCTTTCATGTAGCATTCCACAGATGAGGCAACATGCCCTCTCTTCTGCTCAAACTTCAAAAAAATGAAAAAAAAAAAAAAAACATATCAAGGTTATAGTAGTAGTAATTAGGGGTGAGTTCAAAAAACCGAAAACCAAACCGAACCGAAGCCGAAAAAAACCGAACCGAAAAAAAACCGAACCGAAACTGCCAAACCGAACCGAACCGAATCTGGTTGGTTCGGTTTCGGTTTTTGAGGTCCGAAAACCGAACCGAAAAAAAAAATCATATATAAATTCTAAAAAAACATGTAGGCGCCGGGGTTTGAACCCCTTCCCTATAGCTTAGGATTAGTTGCTGCAAGGCAACTTGACTGCAGGCTTTGAGTTGTTATTATTGTACCAGTACAATATTTATAGGTTTCTTGTATTTAATGCTTTATAAAATTTCTTAAACTTTACAAACCCTAGCCGTCTCACACTTTATCTCACTTCCCATTTCAGATTTCAAACACTCCTCCGCTGCTTCCTCTCTCTGCCTTTGCTTCCTCAGCCCCTCTCTCTCTCTCTCTCTCTCTCTCTCTCTCCTTCCTCTCTTCCTCCAAATCACTCTCTCTCCAGTCTTCTCATGTCCTCCTCACGGATTCCTTCTTCCAAACCATGATTTTCCCTCGCCCCTTTCGAATCAGAACCCCCTTTAAATTGAAAGATTCGAATCCGGGTTTTCCGATCTCTCACAGGTAATTTTCGAATCAAAACTAATATGATTTATAATTTTATATTGTGATTTACTGAATTAAAATGGGTTTTTCTTTTCATTATTTGTTGGGATTTGCATGTTATAATCTTTGCAGATTTGTTGGGATTTTATATTGTAATTTTCGTATTCATTTGCAGATTTGTTGGGATTTATATTGTGATTTACTGAATTAAAATGGGTTTTTCTTTTAATTATTAGTTGGGATTTTGCATGTTATAATCTTTGCAGATTTGTTGGGATTTGGGATTTTATATTGTAATTTTCGTATTCATTTGCAGATTTGTTCCAGTTCGTATTCATTTGCAGATTTCTTCCAGTGCAGATTTGCAGATTTGTTACAGTTCATATTCATTTGCACCAACACCCAATAAGTTTCTGCATCTTCAGTGCTCGCAATCAATCGTTGCAGATTTGTTCCAAATTAAAAAAAAATATCATGGAAAAAACCGAACCGAAAAAAATCAAAACCGAAAAAAATCGAACCGAAAAAAAAACCGAAAAAAATTGAACCGAACCAAACTGAACCGAAATTTCGGTTCGGTTTCGGTTTTGACTAAAAACCGAACCGTTTCAAACCGAACCCAGCCCTAGTAGTAATAGTAGTAGTAGAACAAATCTAGCTAATAAAGAAACAATAAAAAACTATATATGCAAAGAAAAAAAGAAAAAATTGGAGAATTAATTGATTCTGAACTTTAGTCGAATTGGAGTTTTTGCCACTAAACTAAAAATCTTTGAGTATTGATCCTTGAACTTGCCACAATGTGGAGCATTGATATTTTCGAAGACAGAAGTTCTAATAGAGCAACACAAAAGAATCATTATTCCACACAATGACAAGTTCATAGATCAATACTCAGAAATTTTTTGTTCAAGGATCGATACTTTAATTTTCTCAAGAAAAAGAATGGTAATACTACGTAGTAATGAATTTATATAATTAAGAACATACCTTGTGAGACTTCATATCATCCACGAGTCTACCAATTAATGATGCTGCCTTTACAATCTGAGGGTCACTAAACACCCAATCCAAGGAGTCTTTTGTAACAACACTTCCCATTCCAACAAGGGATGTGGTTGCTAGCGTGAAGGGCTGGTTTGGTATTGCTGTGCTTTGAAAAAAAGCTGCTGTGAGAATAAGCGGCTGTGCTGTGAGAATAAGCGGCTGTGAAATAAATCAGCAGAGTGTTTGGTAAACTTTTTTGTAAAAGTGCTTTTGAAAAAAAAAAGCAGTCTGATAGTGGATCTTTTCATTAAAGGAGCACTGTAGTTCTGTGTGCTTTGAAAAAAAACCAGTTTTCCAAAGCTACAAATTGCAGCTTCAGCTTTTTCCTTTGATTTCAGCTTATTCTCACAGCAGCTTCCAAAATAAGCCTTTTTTTTTAAGTTTACCAAACACCAAAAACACTCCCAGCTTTTTTTCATAAGAGCTTTTTTTAAAATCACCTCAATCCCAAACTGGGGCGAAGTAGGATGTATTAAGTGCTTCTGACAAATATTCATCCATGGTTGGTGTGTAGTTATCATAGAACCATTTCGCTTCCTTGAAGTAAGATTTAACTTGGATTTTCATCTGAGAGACGACCAAGCGATGTACATATACGTAATAAAGCTTCAATTAATCTTGCTTCTATAATTAATTACTCATGACGATCAAAAATGGTATATAATACAAATTACCACGTAACAGTAATTAGTATGTGTGACTTACTGCTTCTCTCGCATAGTGGATGCGATATGAGTTTCCCTCGTTTCCAAGCTTTTCCTCAATTTCAGCGTAGAGATCCAACAATGCTTGATAACAGACTTTCATGTACTGCTCAGGCAGATGAACCATGGCAGAGATGTCCCACCTGATGATCCACGACGAAACATTTAAAATAAGCTAGTGAAACAATCCAAGAAGACTATCATCCAAAAGTACTAGCTGATGTTCGCATTTCAGACGTCTTGCTTCTGTTAGAAGCGCGTACTGTCTACGTTCAATGAAATAAAATAAAAAATCAAGCTAATCAACCACTGTAAATTGTGAGATGAACAAATTAAACGATTATTATTAGTTTATTTTCAAACCTTTCAACAGCTTCAGTAAACAGCTCTAGTTCTCCAAATGTGCCGTACACGTCATAAATATCATCAATAACGACCATGATGGCAGTAACTTTTCCAAATATCATCCTAGCAAAGGAGTATTCAGGTTCATAGTAGCACCCTAAAGCCCAAAGGTAGCTCTCAACTACTTTGTCCCTTGCAAACGGTAACTTGTTTACAAAGTCCAACTCCTTCCACCATCTGCATTAATTAATTTAAGTACAATTTGATTAATGCATAACTAGTTTTGCATGAAGTTGATGGTATTAATTGCCAATAATATATATATACATATATATGTATAATAACCTTGTAATTTCACTTAGTTCCTTCTGATGGACTTTCTGCAAGAGGTTGAAATCCAACTTTGCAAAAGTTAGGAGAGTCTCATTATGTGAATTATTTTCGCGGTAGATGGACAAGTACTGCCTTGCTTCTAGCCTTGGGTTGCCCTTCCAGAATGGCTGGTACAATGCATGCTTTACTTGTTGCAAAAGTGGCCCGGGGCTTAAACTATGTGCTGCTGACTCGAGATGAGTGGTGGTGAAGTTTAATGCCTCTTCTAGTATATCTTCTCCGTGTACCCTCAGATGCGTAGCTTCGTACAAGCTTAGTAGTCCGACGATATCATTCGTGAGTGATCCCTTAAATTTCGCATCATTGACGTCCTTGAACTTGTTGAACATGTCTGCTTCAAAAAAAATATTAATTAATGCATGCATTACGTGCTTAGGGTACGACCTTTATGCATTACGTGCTTAATTAGAGGAAAAAAAGTTTAATCCGTATATAGCTATAGAACAATCCATGAGCACCGAGAGGGCCGGGAGGGGGAACTTACCACATGAAATATTATAACCTTGTTGTCTAAGCAATCAAAAATAGAGAGCAGCAGCGTGAAGATCCTCATCATCATCACTTCCTTGGTAATAACAGTGATATGAGTTGTTGTGAATTTGTAGCAAAACTTGATCAATCTCATTTTCAAAATGACGGGAGACGCCTAAGCGCTGAATGGCATCAATCAATTCCAATTTTTTCAAAGATTTACTAGGCGTTGGAGCCATTATCATCCTCGTCACTCTTTCCTTCAGTTCTTGAATACGTTGCTCTTCTTCTATATTTGTTTCCTGAAAAGACAAATTGAAACGGAATTAGAAAGAATGAAAAAAATACTAAATATATAATGACAAACTATTAGTCTAAATGAATTTCGCACAATAGAAGCATATGATAAGAAATAATCGCCCCAAATGGTGGAAGAGAAATTTGCTGAACGTCGATTAACATCATTAGTCGTCGTTTTTGGGGTTTGATGTGCTTGAGGTGCAGACATTTTATTTTTCAAGGGCTGGTGGGAGTTGGAGTAGGTTATTTGTTACTTATATACACTTCCAGGGTGGTGTTTTTTTTTGGGGGAAGTTGAAGGGTTGGCCTGGTGGGGCGTGTAATATTATTTTCTCTATTCTCATAACGGGCTAATAATAATGTGATTCAATCAGTTATTTATTAAATATTATTTTCTGTATTCTTAATGTAAATTTTATAGAGACTAATTTTATTATATGGATTCAACTGCTTTATTACATTATTAAACAATCATTTGACAACTAATTTAATCACATTATTATCTGCGTGCGAAAAACTTTTTTTATAATCTGCATTACACGCCTCTTAAGATGTTTTGAACGTGTTTAAAAATAAAGAAAATCATATTTAATGAACATTTGATTGTTTTATGAAGCGTGTAATGCCAGTTATAAAAAAAGGTCTTTCACACGTGGATAATAATGTGATTAAATTAGTTGTCAAATGATTGTTTTTTTTTTCTTTTAAAAAACGATATTACCTACACTAAGGGAGAGAGAGTGGACTTAGCCTTACAATGGACTATCAATAATATGATTCAATCAGTTGTTTATTAAATATTATTTTCTCTATTCTTAATGTAAATTCTATAGAGACCAATGTTATTATGTGAATTTAGTTGCTTTAATTGGTTTATGGGGGATTTCTTCTAGCATGCTCTAAAATTATTCATTAACTTCAAATATTTGGCTTTTCTTTTGTTAATTTACGCATATGAATACATTTAAAACGTATAAGTCATCCGTAGCACGCCGTGATTTAAAAAATACATTTTGCACGCACGTGAGCGTGTGCAAAAAGGCTAGTAATAAAGGTAAAAGAGAGAAAACTCTCGAGTTTAGGAGAAGAAGACAATGTAGCAGGGAAATTGATGTTTCTTTTTTGTGAGGTAAATTGCTTTTGCAAAGGTAGGGTGTGTGTGGTAAATAAGAATCATGTTTTTTTTTGGAAAAAACGTGTTCACAAACAATCACGCGATGTATCGTGTTCAATAATATATTGTCGTTTTTTTAATTTTTCTTCGCAATGCATTATTAGATTACACCGTGTTGCCCTCTAAATTTACATAGACTTGACACCACCACCACCACAATGATACAAAAGTCATATAGCCGTACTATAAAATTCTTGTCAACAAATCGAAAAGAAGAAATAGTTGTCACTTAGTACTACTGTGTAATGATATTCTTTTTCAATTGTAAGTTTGTTGACCCTAAAAACTACAAAGCCTACGTGGCGCGCAGGCCGAGTAATTAATGAGCTAACTACGTCCTTCGGTGAATGCGGGGCGTGCCAACTCGTCGGCCGAGCTCGGCCGAGGAGTAAATTTGTTGATGTTGCGTTGGGTCGCGCTACTGACTTCTGCGTCTTGCGATTGCGGCCGAGAAAGGAACACGTCTCGGCCTCTTGGGCTCTCGAACCTGAAGACAAGATTACTATTCTTACGAAGTTCGATATCAAATTCGGCTTTCAATGTGCCGAATGTAATAACTGTAACACCTCACTTCGCCGAGAAGGCTGATGAGATGACCTCGACCAATAAGGATTTAGAAACCCTTCTCGACCGAGACTTGGATAGGTAATCAATCGTTCTCGCCGCAGTGCTGTTGATGCCAACGGAAGATACTGCGAGACCAACTGACTCTACGGTGACAGAGCTATCTATGCCGACTTAAGATATCACCGGTTGCTTCCACAGTGTTGTTGATGCCAACGGAAGATGTGTCAGCGAAAAAGGAAAAAAGAAAAATCACAAGTTGTGAGAGTTTGCGCATGGCAATTTTGTATTGATTTGCAGGGGTCCCTTAAATGATGCCACTGCCTATGTATTTATAGTGGCTGTAAACCCATTGGATGATGTGTTGGCCTAACCAACACTCCGTCTCACGAGTCGTATGCGCATATGCCTCTACGAAATCCTGTAAAGAATTGCCATTCAAATATGCTTCCACCCATCATCTGGTCACTCA